AGGCTCCGCGCCGAACGTGGCGGCGAAAGTGGCCTCGTCACACAGCTCGGTCAGCGCCGCTGCGTGCTGCGCATAGGCGCCATCGCGCAAGCGCGTGCACACGGCGGCGCCGAGGGGCGAGGCGAAAGTGATGGTCGCGCCGATGCGCTGGTAGATGGCCGCAGCGTCGGCTGAGCCAAACAGGTCCGCAGTCGCCTACCGCTCCATTCCAACACTCTGCATAGACCGCACAGAGGCCCGGCGCCGTGCAACGTGGCGGTCGCCGGCGCGAGAAGCACCGGCACGCCCGCGTAAGCGCCGACATTGACGCACGTCGCGGCACGGAAGAGAGTGAGGGCGGTCTCGGGGTCGGCGCCGCCCGCGAGTGCGCGCGTCGCGAGCGGCATGCCTGTTGGGCGGCGACGGGCGTCAAGTAGCGCCGCCCGCAGCCGCGCGGACGGAGTTTGAGGGCGGGCGGGCGAGGCGTGCCGGCGAGCAAGCAGGCGGGCAAAGCAATGCCGACAAGGCAGAGCGTCCGACCGCAGCCCGCCGCGTCGCCGATTGGGCCCCACAGCCGCGCCTCCCGCCACTGCCGCGGCGGCGGCGGCCGAGCCGAGGTCGGACATCATCAGCTTGCCGACCGAGAGGAAGGGCAGCCCCGCCATCGACAGGCCTACGGGCAGGCTCCGGGAGCGCTCTGGGAGATAGGTTCGAGGAGAGGGAGGCGAGCCAGCGGGCAGACAGCGGGCAGACCGAGCGTGCCGCCCGCCAGCAGCCACAGCTGCGGCGTGCGCTGCGCGGCGGCCAAATCCAACCCGCCGCCGCCCTCAGCACCGCCCCCGCTGCCACTCTCGCCGCCGCCCGGAGCAGCAGAGCGTCCGCCTGGGCGGCCCTCGGCAGGCGGAAGTGAGTGCGGCGCCGCCGGCTCCGGCAGGCGGAAGGTGAGCGCCGCGATCGCCAGCAGCCCGAAGTTGACGCCTGCGAGGGCGGCGAGGGCCTCCGCTGCGCCGCTCGCGCCGTCGAGGAGGAAGACGCCCTCGCGGAGCGAGTCCGCGAAGCCGCTGGCGGAGAGGTCGCGCGCCTGCGGGAGGGTCCAGGAGACGGAGGGTCCAGGAGACACTCGGTCCAGAGAGGCGCTCCGAGGAGCCTCCGGGAGGGTGCGCGAAGGCAGAGGTCGCGCGCCGTCGCGGCGACGCAAGGGACTGCGGCGGCTCCGTCCAGCTGCGCGATCCGCTCTCCGATCGCGCGCCCGTGGAGAGCGCGTCGGTGCCGAGGAGGTCGAGGCCTCCGAGCCGCGTGGGCGGCAGGCGGCAGGCGGCGAGCACGGCCTCGAGGAAGGGCGTCGCGAAGAAGAGGCCCGAGCCGAAGGCGGCGAAGTAGAGGGAGAGCGCGAGCCCGCGGCGGCGGCCGTCGGCGAACCACTTGGTGGCGAGGAAGGGCGGCATCTGCGGATAGACGCACCAGAAGCCGAGCCCAGAGACGACGGTGGTGCTGAAGGCGTACAACGGCCAGTGATTGGCATGAACCGCGAGCGCGGCGAGAAGCATGCCGCCCGGGAAGAGGCATGCGCCGGCGAGCGCGATCCGCCGCGTGCCCATGCGCGCCACGTGCGGCGCGAGGAGGACGCTGGCGACGGCGCTCGTCGCGCCGCCCAGGACGGCCGCCTGCGGGATTGCGCTGAAGGCAAAGTCGGTCGGCATCTGGGCCACGACGCCCTGCGCCCGGCAGATGTGCGGCCCGAGGACGGCCGGCGTGGCCAGGTAGGTGCCGATGGACGCGCCGGAGAGGCAGGCGGGCACGAGCTGCAGCCAGCGGCCGTGCTCACTTGCCGGCTGCATGATGCGCTCGTCGCTCAGCGGTGCGGCGTGGCTGCGGGTCGAGGAGCAGCGCCGCAGCAGGACCGAAGGCAATGCGAGCAGCGGCGGTGGAGCGGCGCGGCGAGCGAAGCGGCGTGGCCACATCGTGACAGACACGTTTTCCAGTTCGTGCACTGCTGCGTCGGCACTGGAAGAGACGTCTAGAGCGAGAGCGAGAGGCGGAGGCAGTTGCCTGGGCGTGCCTATAATCCTTCGGTGCGTGCCTCAAGTGAGGCAAGGTTTTTTCTTTTTGATTGGCCTTGCGAGGAGACCACGCGAGAGAGAGAGAGAGAGAGAGAGAGAGAGAGAGAGAGAATGGCCGTTATCCGTTAGTGCGGACGTCGCCGCGGCTCGCCTCTGCCGCGGCGGCTGCTGCGCGCACGCGGCGGCGCCGCTCTCTCGCGAGACGGCTGGCGACGCGGCTCGCCGCCGACGTACGGTGCGCTCGTCCGACGGTCCGCGGCGTGGCGTGCGAGGCGCTGAGCGCCGCTCTGCGAGCGCCTCTGCGCCTGCACTGCCTGTCTCTGTTGCTGCTGGTGGTGGTGGTGCTGCTGCTGCTGGCGCCGATGCTGGTGCTGGCGCGGCGCGGCTGTGCGACTGGGCTCGACGCGCGCGTCGCGAGCGTCTGACGCGGCGGGCGGCGTCGGGCAGGTGCGCTTCTCTCTCGGGTGGTGGTGGTGCTGCTGCTGCTGCTGCTGGTGGTGCAGGTGCTGCTGCTGGTGCGGCGCGGCTCTCCGACGCGACTCGATGCGCGCGTCGCGGCTATCTGACGCGGCGGGCGGCGTCGCGGGCGGCAGCGGTGGCGGCTCGCGGGTGGAGGTGGAGGCTGGAGGCTGTGGTGGACCTTGACTACTTCCTGGAGATGTTGAGGCGGCGGTGGCTAGGGGACCATCGCGGGGAGCTGCGCGTCCGGAGGGCGAGCTGTGCAGATCCGGATGGCTTCACCTTCGTTGAGCAGCTCAACCCTCTGGGGAGTGAGTCGCCGACGCCGGTGTCTTGACACCCAACACTCTACCTTAGCTCCTGAGGGGCGCGTGGTTCTAACCACGTAGTATGACTACAACCCACCACAGACACCCTCCCCCACTCCTCACGTGTGTTCACACCCTCACCCTCTCCTCTCTCCTCTCTCTCTCTCTCTCTCTCTCCTCTCTCTCCTCTTGTCTGTGCTGTCTGCCTGACTCAGGCACTCAATCTGCCGATGCGTGATTGTGTGTGGGCTGCTCCGAGGAGGGGGCCCTCTGTGCGATCCGACGGGTAGGGGGGCTGTGCCCGGGCGGTGTCCGGTGTGGAGTCCCCTTCTGATCCCGCCTGGGATGTTGGGTGTGAGGTTGTGGCGGCTTCGATCCCAAGGGGGGGAGCTGATCCCACTCAATAACCAACTCTCAGGGGCAGTAGGTGGGCGAGCTTCAGGCACGCTCATCTCGATCGTCAAGACGTTGCTACGCGCGGTCTTCCGCGGGGGGAGCTGCGTCGACGGGTGCGGGACCGCGGCGCAGCCAGTGCCGCGGCGAGGCCTCCGGCTGTTTGCGGCGGGCGGGTTGCTGCTCGCTGCGATGGCGAAAAACTCGTCTCGCCACACGCCAAGGGCTTATGCTCTGGCGAGACGTGAGGCGCATGCGCCCAGGAGGGGAGGGGGCATGTGTAACGACACTGCTAGAGATGCCTTTCGGGGCCCAGAGATAAAACTTCTGTGATGCCATGCGTGACCTAGTAGTGTCCCCAGCTATGGGCGTGTCCACGTTGGAACCAGGTGTGGTGTGGGCGCGAGAATAGCTCCGCCGTTCATGGAGGCAACCGATGCGAGTCGACTGGTGTGTGTCGTCGTGGTTTCGTATCAAGAATTCTCTCTCTCACGGTCAGGATGGAGGTGCTGAACTGGAT